TTTGGGCGCCGGGAAGTCCGAAAAGGCAGTCATCTCTTTACTGGTGTTAAGTATTGTGGATCTCGTGATGGATGCGATTCCCTCGACGTCTTCATCCCTATACTGCCACAGACCGCAGATATCATCGGTTTTCTCAAACACAGTCACATCAAAGTCCTGTTCCCGACAGGCCTTCAGGGCACACAACCCCGATATCCCGGCCCCTATGATGGCTATCCTTTTGGAGCTCATGTTTGTATTTAGTTTTTGGACTTATTTCACACTCAAACGCACTATCCTTATGCTGAGATAATCTGTAGTAAACTCATACAAATAAAATATGTATGCAAAAAACATTGTATCAAAACCAGTTTTTGTGAGCAATTACTTATCTGTTTACTTCAAAGTTAATGACAAAATCAATCAAACAATTACTAATACAATGATGTGTTATTAAAATAAGCCTTCAGTTGATAAATATAGTGAATGAGACATGTATTTAGTTTGAATTCATTAACATATAAACTAATCGTTAGATTCTAATGTATATGTGTTTTTTGTGGTAGTGTTAGGCACTTTATTTTTAATATTTGTATGCTTCAAATATTAGCTAATTTGTTTCTTTACTTAAATTTCCCTAAATTAACAATTATAAGTAAGTGATAAATTAAATATAATTTCTTGAGAAACTTAAATATTTATGTATACTCTGAATAAAGGGCTTTAATTTTAAACCTACTCATAAAAGTGGAATTTATAATAACTAAATTACATGTACATAATTAATAACCCTATCCTATTTAATGATAAATTATCATTGATAATACTGTACTAGGCACATCCATGTCTTTATGCATTAATAATGTAATATAAGTCTATTTCTTAAATAATATATTATACAGTTTTAATTTAATATTCCAGGATGAATGATTATAAATCTTATTTAAAACAAAGTATCTTTAAATACAATCGGAGGAACTTTTATTAATAATTTTCAAGTAAATCACATAATTTTATTCAATTAATAAAATTATTTATATTACAAAAAATATATAAGGCAGAAATTATAAATTAGTTTTGTAAATTATATTTATATAAAATAATATAACCTACTTGTTTCACTTATTTAAAAATCATTATCGCTATTTTAAATACCATAGTTATCGATATTTTGAAATTTATTTTTATATCAGATAAGGTTAATTAATAAATTAAATTAAAGCTCAAAACATCTTATATTCCTATGGATTCACTAATAAAATATCAAAACCCAAAAGTATTATTCATTTCTTGTATTAAACGGCGCTTTAATTCTCTCATTTACGGTAAGTATAGTCTCTCTGGCTTTAGACCACGAATTAGGACCTAGAATAGCAAAATGTCAATTAACAATAAGTGATGTCCACGTAATATTATCTAAAATAATCTCACCCGTCAACCTGTACTGATAGGGAACACAGGGACCGAAATACATGTTATACCATAGCTTCGGGTCAGTAAAGAAATATTTGAATAGATTTGGTTTGACGCCCATAAGGCTGGCCAACTCATCCATGTATTTAATGTAATACACTTCCAACGTATACTTTTGCCAGTCGGGGAAGTGCTGTTTAACCCATTTCTTTCGCTGCTTAATATCCCTGATCATCTGCTTTTGTGTCGGCATTTTGCACTTATTAGCCATTAATAGCGCGAAATAGCGGGACTGTAGCTCAGCCATGGGCAGCACAGCACCGATAGGTAATATAAGACCAATGAATGCCAGGGTATGTGGGTGCTTCAAGTCGGGACTAAATATGTTTTTATATAAATTGAAATCCGATTTCTTGACGGATATCACGGATTCCGACAGAAATGGATACGATATCTGATATCCGGTGGCAAATACGACGGCATCGCATAGGGTTTCATTCGCTTCTCCTATAAATATAATTTAAAATTTTATATTAAAATATATGCCACTTAAACGAAATGATTTATAAACTAATAATTAGAAGTCAAGATTACTATTTATTATTTAAAATACTGTGTTTATATTGATTATTTTTGTTATAATACAAAGTCCTAGCTAATATGCATACTACAATCTGAATGTTGTATAAACTTCTACCTGTAAATATGACTCCATTCTGAGTGAACTCCTGGATGTCCCCTTTGATGACCACAAAGCAAGACATAATCTTTTTGGGCAAATCGTCGTTCACGAAGATGTGCTGCGAAAAGATCCGGTGTTTCGGTTTGAGTCCATACAGCTTGTGATCAAATCGGATATTCATATACCCCTCCGCCACAGAATTCACGAGTCCAAAGGGGGTCACATTAAACATGGTATTCCAGTACCTTGTTAACATAACCGAGTCAAACGGTTTGCCCTTATGGCCCACCCGGTGAGTGATCCAACTCCCGGTGCGAGTCGATAGGTATACCTAATGGAGTGAATATTATAAATGCTTTTAATTAAAAATCAACTAAATCACATTTTTTTTAATTTTTTTATTTAAATCTTTACATAATGTGTAATACCATATATTTTCATATACTCATAATTTTAGTTAATTTATCAAAATAATATATATTTGCCAATTTAATTGCCAATTAAATATATTATATTAAATTAATTATATTAAATATATGGTATACCGTATTAATATTATAGAAATTTATAAAAGTAGTGTTAAGAAGTTTGTCTAGGGTTTATTTTATAAAATCATAAATCAGTTTTATTGAAAGTTGTGTTTATAGTAATGTGTTTATATATTTTACTATATTTTTAGCTAAATATTAATTTAATGAGAGGTTAGTTTATGATTTGCATTGAGTTTATGGCAATAATTAGTTTTTAGATCTTTTTGTTGTTTCTAAATGTAATTATATTTTGAAGGAAACACTTGTTTTACACGATATTCTCAAATATCTGTCTGTATTAAATAGTATAAATGTTTATATTTGAATTTTAATGAATATTTGGTATTTATTTATGAACACTAGTTATTCTCTATTAATGTGGTAAAAATAATTTTGCTTCAGGCAAATAATTTTAAAATTTCTAATAAAATATTTCTAACTATGATTAATCATACAAATGACTATACAGTAGAAGAATATGTACTAAATCTTTGATAAAATGTATATATTATTTAAATACATTATTATAATTAACTAAAGGGATTATTCAGTAATGATTAAAGAATTCATACACTATTTATTTATAATTTATAATCGTTGCTAAAATATCAATATTTCCTATAATACTATAATAAAATTATCTATTACAGTTAATGTTCAAAATTCTTATTGATTATAAATTTCTTGTTTCACTTTTGATTAAAATTAAATAATTACTACATTTTTAGTTACTTACGTTTGGACACACATTAGACAACTCGACGGCAATATCTCCGCCGGAGTTCCCGATGCCGACCACAACCACCCGTTTTCCCTCAAAGCCCTTATTATCTTTGAAAGCGTGTGAATGCATGAGAAGTCCCTTAAATATGTGCTGATTCTTGAATGCAGGCACCGATGGTTGGTTGTTATGTCCGGTGCACACCATTACCCCATCAAATACTTCATGAAATACACGCTCATTATTAATGTCGCGCACCGTTAGCCTCCATTTGCCCGTCTCCTCGTAATCAGCATTTTGCTCGCAATTTATTAATTCATGTCTTAGTCTGAGGTGTGCTTTGAAACCGATTTTCTCCGCATATAATGTCAGATATTCTGCCTTTTTATTAGAAAATTTTTATGAATTAGTTTTAGTCTTTGTAAAAGTAAATTAAAATATTTTTCAAAAAATTAATTAATTAATACTATGATAACATTACAATATGTTTTCAAATTAAATTAGTATTACTATTGCATTTAGTATTTTAATAATACTTATGTGATTGATAAAATTGATGATTAATAAAAATAATTAAAATACTGGTAAAGATTAAGTTAATGTCTGACTATTATCTAAATAGTGTATAAATTATATTAAATAAATAAGTTATAAAAATAACTTTTTCTAATTAAAATAACAGAATTAAAGGATCATAAATTATTTATTACAGAATATTTCATACAAATTACTAAATAAAAACTAATATAATAATAATAATAAATAAATAAATACCATTTTTGTATTATGCATATAATTAGGGAAGTGTTTGGGCGCCGGGAAGTCGGAAAAGGGTGTTATCTCTTTGCTGGTGTTGATAGTAGTGGACTTCATGATGGAGGCGCTACCCTCCAGTTCCTCATCCCTATACTGCCAGAGACCGCATATCTGGTCCGTCTTCTCATACACCACGACATCGAAGCCCTGTTCCCGACAGGCATTGAAGGCACCCATACCTGAGTTGCCGGCGCCGATCACTGCTATCCTCTTGGCAGCCATTCCTACAAACGGACTCTTAGTTTGACTTTTCATTCATTCAATCATTCAATGAAAATGAAAATAAAACAGAAAATAATTATTTTCTAAACTTTTGTTTCACTCCAAGAATTGAAGTTTACTTTTATATGAACTTCGAGTTCGCAAACAATTCATTGTCATTGTGTTCAATAATATTCTCTAATTACTACTATAGTATGTTTCCCTTTTATGGGTACAGTATATACACCGGTATAATGTACATAAAAATATGTTTTAAATTTTGACTTAATTATCGGAGCTTACTTAGTCATAATTACTATGACAATCATGAAACTTTATATTATTAACCATTATTTTTATGTATACTATTGGTGTATATACAATGAAATTGTATCAGTTATGTTAGATAGATATTATTGTAGTGTTACTTAATGATTTTACGTCAAAATTCAATGCCACTATAATTTGGGAAACAAAATTATATTTTCACATCCCAGCGCACATCGCACAGGTATTGCCCGTCCTTACAACGATTATTCATAGCCGGGCTAAATTAAAATCAATATAAAAAATATTTATTTAATACTTTACCACTAAATTCATGCTTTGTAGTATTTGTTATCCGTCATCACCTAGCTTGTTTATTTTGATGTGACATATTTCAATGAGTATTGTCAGAGTAATTATTTTATTTTTCTAATTAATTTTCCTAATTTTTCTAAATGTATATTCAACCACAATTATATTACCCGTACCAATTAATTATAATTTTACAAGTACAGGTTATGCAAAAGTACATTTTATTCTATAAATTAACTTTTATTATAATAATTTAATCACACGTCAAAGTTGTCATCTAGATAAAATAAATAATAAAAATATAAATCTTATATATTTTATAGAAATTTTAAGTTGTGTATAATTTATATTTTGGTAATAAATTAGATTTTTAAATTAGAAATATTTATCAATTTTAAATTAATTATTCTACATTCAAAACTGTATTTATGTAAATGCAAAATAATCCAGATGTTATTAACCTCTTGAATGTAAATTGGTTTTACCGGATTTTTGTTAATAATAATTAAATTTATAATTACACTTATTAAAATTTAATTAAAATTTAATTATTTTTTTATATCTTATTTCTAATTAAAAAATTGATCAATTTACTATTTGCGCATTTTGTAAATTGCTAAACTAATAAAATTATAAGGATTTTTGTGTATCATTAATTTGTTTACCACTTTTATAATATGGTAAATATTATCCAAATACAGTAATAACTTGCTATATTATGTATTTTAATTCAATAAATTAATAATAGTTATACAGTATGAGTCTTAAAATAAGAAAACTAAGGTATCATGTAATTTTATTAATAATTATTACTAACAAATTAAATTGACATATTATCAATTTAATGTATTAAATTAACAAATATAAAAAGAGTAATTAAAAATTGTAATTTCAAAATAATTTATAAGGAAAATTTGTTTCCCATCACTAATTAGTTAATTACTTTTTGTTAATTTTTAAATAAAACAAATTCTCATACTTGTTTAATTTACGATTAATAAGTTGGTACATTATTCGGGCATTTGCCCATGCTAACATAAAAAATATTGAAAAAGCACATGTCAATTAAATAATTATAATTATAGTTCCCAATGATTTATAGTAAGCCTTAAACATAATATTTGGCATTTCATTTATTTGTAACAGTAGATTTGTTATATCAAATATTTTTTAGATTCAAGTTTATGTCAATCATTTTATTACAATTGAAAGTCAAAATAAAAACTTTTAATACAGCAAAATATTCACTCCATAAATCAATTAAATATCAAATGGATTTGCAAAAAACAATATTTTAATGATATTTTAAATCTAAAACTATTTTTTAACCTTCAATCGGTATTAACTGTATTTTTT